GGTGGTGTAGCGCTATAGGTAGCTTTACTATTTTGGTCTCTGGAAAACTTTTGAAAAGTTGACTAAACTAAGAGTAAAATGGTTCGGAACGGGTTTAGAATAAAATTCTGTCAACCCAAACGGAACGAAATATTATAGGGATGGAATCAAGATAATTCAGGTCGGGAAAATGAGATTGGGATTCTTGCCAACTCTTAGTGGTTTCAGATAAGGTCTTGGGTCAAAAATATGTCGAGTCAAATTCTGTCAGGTCTATATAATACCAAAAAATACTGTGAAATGCTAATATATAATGTCAAATTGTAAGAGTACAAACTCCCATTTCGAAGTTAAAATCATGAATCTTCTATTTTATATACTCCCTCCGTCCGGAAAAAATCTTCCCGTTTCTCCTTTTTCCCCGTCCGGAAAAAATCTTCCCATTTCTAATTTTAACCTCAATTCTTCCAAAAATGCCCTTCTCATTAAATAACCTCTTTCTTCTTTTTTTCCTTTTCTTCTTATTCTTCTTTTCTTTCGTCCTCTTTTCTATCTTTTTTCATTGCCTAATCTCCATCTCCTCGTCATTTTCTTCCGTCCATTTTCATCCTCCTCCTTTCTCATATCTTCTCTTCTCATCTCTCTCTCTCTCTCTCTCTCTCTCTCTCTCTCTCTCTCTCTCTCTCTCGATTCTTGCTTCTCTTCTCTCCCCCCTTCGTCTTTCTTCCCTCATCTTTTCTTCTCCGTCTTTCTTCCAGATCTGGGATATGGCGGCGATTGTGGCGGATAACGTGATGATGAGGGTAGATCTGTACGAGTTCTCATTATTTCTTATAGATCTACACCACGACCCCTTTCTCCTTGTTATTTATTTTAGATCTGTGCCATGGTAGCTCAAGAAGCAGTGGTTAGTCGAGCATGATGAAGGGGATGCCAACGGTGGTGGGGCTGGCGGCGAATCCCGGCGATAAAAGTACTGATGGTGGTGGCAAGGGTTGGGCTAGCTGCGATGGTGGGGCTAGGGAAGATGGTCGGAGCACGGGTGGTGAAGGGGTAGTGGTGGGGCTCCAATTGACGACGGGGGTTGGCGAAGGACAGAACCAGGGACTACCGGCCTCCTCGTTCTTCACTAGCCTTTCAAGGGCATTTTAGCCATTTCAACTCATAAGTCAACCATTCAAAAAAATGAGAAAAAGTCCAAATGGGAAGATTTTTTCCGGACGGAGGGAGTATTATCTATGTTTACTTCTATTTTTTGTGATTTCTCTTAACTTTTGTTGGTTTGCATCTCATGTAAACTCTTTTTTGTATTTATAATTTTTATGTAATTTTTAAATTTTCAAATCTTACATTTTATTTGTATACAAATTTCTATGTAATATTCCCTATATCCCCATTTTGATTACAATTTTTTCTCACCTCTAAATAATTTTTGTTTATTTACGTGATTAATATGTAATTTTAATTTTTTTATTGATATACCAATTTCTAAATAAAATAATTTCAAAAAGTGAGAAATTTTTCCTCGTAAACCCCAATTCGGGGACGGAGGGAGTATAGATTTCAAAAAACATAAAATTTTACACATTGTTCAAAACATGTCGGATAATTTAGTGTAATGGTGACTTGGAGAGCTGAATATACGTACCTTTTGAGGCATGAGCATAATTACACAAGATTTTTAAATCTTTAGATTCTTGTGCAAATATTTTCGATTGCACATCCCAACTATTTGGCAAATTATATTATACATTCAGTTGTACCCGATTTTGGGTACAACCAAGAAATTATTTATGGTATGAATTTTATTTTACATGAGAATGACACTAAGTTATATGAGAACTAGTGTTTTGACCCGTGCGACGCATGGGGTCGAACGAAATTTTTGTCGATTTCAATTTTTTTCAAAGTAATATATTTTTCGGAATCAAGTAAATATATTTATAGCACGATTTTTAATCAATGGACAACAACGAAAAAGTAGAATATGTAATATTTGAGGAATTGAAAGTGTACTCAAAAAAATCTTTTTTATTTACAATTTTTTTGAAAGACTTTAGGGTACACAACATTTTTGGTATGGTTGTAAGAGTTTCCATTGTCATCTAGAACCAATATTTTTAATCATGTTTTTACCTTCACTCGTAAAAAAATAAACATAAAGTTAACCATGAGTAAATACTGAATTAGTTTAAAATAATACAACAAAAGACAATGTTTGACCTTCACTTTTGTTAATAGTCATAGTAAAAGATAAGACTATTGAGAATTGTCTTCTCTAGAATTTCAGGAGTAGTCTTGGATCATATGGTATCAAATTCATTCGGGGTATGTAAATCTTTTTCCCAACTGATTTCCGGAAACCTCAATTGGAGTGATATTATTCTTTCTCAGCTTCTCAATGATTAATCTTCTACCATTACACAGTTAAGATATTTGGTTAATGTCCTTCAATGACATAATTGGTACTCCTTTTTAAAAACTATTTTGTGGTTTAAGATCGCCCAACATTTGATTTTATTAAAAAAACTGAAGTGTTATCCAATCGTCTTCAAAAACTACATCTAAATTAGTTTTGCATGAAGAATCAGAACTTACGTACTCCTTTTCACCTTCTAGAATAAGGTATAAGACAAATTCATTTACCATTCAACAAACTCGAGTGTGGGTGCTTATAGTGCACTATCCTCAAAAAAAGAATAATTTTTCATTTTCTCTAATAAGTTCTGATAAGTGCAATCTCATATTTGGCCTGGAATTTTTTTAATATATACGGAGTAAAATTATTGCTCTATTAAATAAACATACCCATAAAAAATCTTTTTCTTTTATATATTTATTTCTCTTTTCCCAAAGATGGAAAATTTCTGTAACTAGTATTAATTCAAAATAAAAACAAATATTCACATGCAATTTCTTTTAGTCCTACCAATCTATTCGTTCATTCAATTATTTTATTTGTTGATTATTGTTTTTGAATATGAGTTCTCTTTTCAATGTTTTCCAACAATGAATTAAGATATAAAAGTTTTTAAACGTGATTATGCTGAGAAAAATTTGTATGTAACAAATATGGAATTTAATTTCTATAGAATAAGTTTTTTTGTTAACGAATTCTTTAAATATAACTTGATGACATGACGTGCTCACATGTCAAAAAAATTGCCCAATAAGCGTGCCACATATCACAATTCTAGAAGCCTAATATTTTTACCCGTACTATGCACGGGTGCAAGAATGTACTTTTTTACTCTATTGTTTTTCTTCGAGGTTAATGCTTGAAAAATTGAACAAAACAATAGTGAATTCATGAATTAATAAAAAATGATATATCATAAACATTGCTATTGGTAATTCTTCTATATAACTATGTAAATGTGTAATTTAAAACCAAACTTTTTGAAAAGAATTAGGGCATATCACATTTTTCGTGAAATTGCCCGTATTAATGTCATCTAAACTACAGTAATATTTTCAAGCAAATCTTTGCTTTCACTCACGAAAAAAATATAACATTGTTCGTGAGTGATTACTGTAAAAAATATTTCAACAAATCGCAATGTTTGGCCTTGACTCTTTTTGATAGTCATAGCAAAACATACACATATTACAAATGGTTTTCTTTGAAACTTCAAGAGCAATTCAGGATCAAATAGTACCAAATTCATTTAAGGCATGAAAACATTCTCCTTAGCATTGTTTCGTGATACTACAATTGCACCGATGATATTTTTCGCAACTCTTTAGTGATTAACTATGTACAATTACACAATTTAAAATATTCCTTAACAACATGATTCATACTCCTTTCTTCAATTACACAAAAGATTTTTTTTTAATTTGGGTCGACAATTTGCTCAGATTTTTTTCTTTTTTAAATTTAATTGTGTATGGCACCTCATATTGCTCTTAATAATTACTCCGCCATGTTGTCTAAAAAATGACACATCAGCTCCGCCATTTGTCGCATCTCAGCTATGCCAAATGTCTCGTTCCTGGAGGTCGGAGTCTCATTTATATATATAAAGGATAAAGGATAAAGGATAAAGGATGAGTACTATTGTGTTTTAGATTGAACATTAAATTATTTGTAGATGAATATTATAATTATATTGAACCAATGTATGAAAATGAGTACTGAATTATTTTAAAATGAGTACCACGCTAATTATATTTGTGCAAAAATGAGTACTACTCTACTTCAGAATGAGTACTACCCGGATGTAACGTACGTCCGTACATCCGGTTGTACAATATACCTTCTCTAACTTTTTCGCACACTATAAATACATATTCCCATTAATTTTATATTATCAGATCTACAATATTCATTTTTCATTTTATTTTTTTGTTCATCAACTCTAAAGCACTATAAACAGAAATGTTCTAGAAACACATTTTGATAAAGCAGCTTCTTTTTCTTTTTTTGTTCTTTTTTCTTTGGTGTATGTTATTTCTTAGTTTTTCAATTTTTTCTTTCCTTCTTCTTCATTACTCCGTATTATTCTTCGGTTTTTTATTTTTAGTTTTAACTTTGTTAAAAAATTATTTTTATAACTTTTTTTAATTTTTAAGTTTTTTAATTTTTAAATACTCCTTTGACATAATAGAATGATTTCCTTGAAATTCATAGTAATTTAATTATATTTTATACAAATTTAAATAATTGGATGTCATGTTAATTTTATATTTAGTTTTATTTAAATTTATATTTATATATTAGTCCTATTAAATTTGTATTCTTTATATTTTAGATAAATGATTGACTCTGCAATAGATGGGAACAAAATCTAATGAAAACAAAGAAGAGGATCTGAAAGGACCCTCTTCGATGATGAGGCTCATCTTCTTTTTCTTTTTTTTTTTTTTTTTTTTTTTTTTTT